GGATCTTCTTTCAAACACACAAAGGGCAGACTGATGATTACATCGATATAAAGTATTTTCCTTTCAGTTGTAGACGAACGTGCGTCAGATGACGCCCAGAGTTAACCAGAAGTGGGTGTGAGTGAAGCCCAAAATAGAGACCGAGCTTTAGAGCTTGAGGACGAATCATTTAGAGAAGGAGGAGCGCGAAAATGCGAGAATATATTTATATATATACGCGAACCGTTTGGCTAAAAAGCTTGCTTTACACTAAGGTTGACGATTGTCATTGCAGCTTCTATTTTGCAGATTAGCTGCCGTATTTTGCAAAAGTAAACGTTTGTTGGGATTTTACTTTTTTCTACGTGTACAAAATTATACTAGCTAGTTGTAATGATAATAGAAATTGAGCGTTCCAACATTTATCCGGTACTTTGAACACTTTGAGCTTCACGTGACAAACCAATTGCCTGTGGTACCGGTTGTAAAGAACCTAAAAATCAGTTTACAGCTGTGAAGTAAATTACTTCATTTCGCCGATGAATACATATCTAATTTAGCCTGGAACAGTGATTATCATAAAAACATATATATATGTATATATATATATATATATATAAATATATATATATATAAATATATATATATATAAAGAACTGAGTCACTAGACAATTTGGAAAACAAGCTATTTAAAACATAGAGAAAGTAAAATGTAGGAACAAAGTGAAAAACGTAAAATGAAGACTCTTAAACCGTCAATAAACATACATTTTTGTACAAACTATTAGATAATCCTTACCCTATCTTGTATCAGGAAAAGAAGGTATTACTGAATGCTGAAGGTGTAACTATTCGTCTAACCTCAATAGTAGGACATCATTAGGATGAAGATCAAAAAAGATGGCACTCCCTATGAGGGCGAGGCTACATCCATCGTTTACTCTAGATTACGGTTTTGCTACTAGATATTCCGTTTGGAAGATATTTCGTTCCACGCCCATAATATGGGTACTTTTACGCATATAATCTGTCCTGTCTAGGCAGACCAAAAGTATTTTGTGTACGATCATCTGAAGCAGGAAAAGTGATGCACTAGAGGCAATTGCTGGCAGCCTTTCCTCAGTTTATCTATTTGTCTCATGAGGGACAGTCACTCAATTTGTCTTATGTAAGGGTGTTTGACTACGCCATCGTAAAGCAGTGTTGATATTTATTAATACCTATGCATAAAGTCCAACTTAGAAATAAGTACCTTTGCACATAAACTTTCATCTCCTTGTGATGGTGTAAGTGAGATGATATCTCCTAATAGAATGAGATCCTGACTCAGAATGAGGTTGTAATGTCTAGCCACGTACGCATAAACCGTTCGACTTCTAAAGATCAACAAATGCTTATCTCGTATAATCTGCCAGATACGTTACTAACGAAGTATGCATGGTGAACAGATCTGCTCATAACTTGTATCTAGTTATTCCTAGATATCTATGAAAACTGAAATAAATATTTTTATCGTTAACGGTGGAGTATCCTAGAAAAACGGTACATTGTATTTTGGTTAACTTACTTAAAGACCAAGCTCAACGGTGGCGCCCACCTGTACGAATTGAAAGCGTATAGTTTCCAATCGCCTATCTTTCTGCTATACTTGAAAGGCGTGGGCTTTACTTAACAATCAGTCCAATAACGATTAAATGGATCAAGTTCCATAAATTTCGCCAAAAGCAGTATGCTTTCGCCTTATCCCCTATCCTATTAGGTTATCTTACTAATATAGCTCTCGTAAGTACAAATTTCGGTTCACTCACGGTCCATATATGTTCTACCCATGAGGCAAAAACAAACAAGTCGTATTTTTTCATGCATAGATCATGCCTTTCAGGTAAGAAAATCAATTACAGCTTTCGTATCGGATGTTGATTTTTTGCTGGCTAGCAAAAATATAAATTCGATAGTTTCTAACCGGCACGTATTTCATATTGAAACTAAGAAACACTTAACACAAATGAGAGAGCCGAAATTCAAACTTATCCGGATAAGTTCTATGTCTCTAGCTCACTCGAATAACATCCTGTTATTATCTGAGCTGTTGGAGTAGGTTTCATCTGCGTTCTACCACTGAATCATTATGTTGATGTTTCGGACTTCCAAAAATCCCTATCCAGAAAAAAAAAAAAGCATTTCAACCCCAAAGTCGCCTCGGCTATTATCTGGTGTCTAAGTGATCAGGTAGCCTCATTTCAAACTGTCACGTTCGTTTAGATATGTACTACTTATGATGAATTTGAAATACCCTAAGGTTATATGACTAACAATTACAATACTCTGAGAGATCGATATCCGTGAGGAGCTACCCACCCGTAATAGAACGCAGCCCCCCAACAAGAACATTTAATCACGGAGTCATAAGTTTTTCTTTCTGCTACCCATCCTTTTGCAGGATCGTAATCACACTAAACTGGAAACATTGCTGATAATAATTGTTAAAGTTATTGCTTCAGTGTGGCGAAAATCTGATTGCATTGCATCTTGATTCTAGCTTAATTTCGCTAGCCCTACGAATGGCATATATTTTCGCTCGTAGAACATTTGCAGGCGTACACGTAATTGATCGACGCGTTGCTTTAGACTAAAGCAAAGTGGGGCGACACAGTAATCGATTGGCTGACGAGAAAACCGCCAGAATCTTGCTCGGAATAAATCCATTTGGGTTACCCAAAACTAACCCATTTCTTTCTCTCTCTCTTCCTTTTTATGGAAATATTTCGAGTTTTACGTCCTCTACTGCCCTTAGTCATTCCATCACTGGTCTTCAAACCTTGAACTTAAATTCGTTGTTTGTTCTACTGGGGAAATCAACACTGGTTTTGGAGTCTGTCGCCATTTTTTTTAATACAACTGTGGTAGCTCGCTGTCCTACAGAGAGTTTCAATCAAGCAGTTCCTACGATTCTGGAAAAGACTGTTCCATTCTCTCTATTGCATCCTTTTTTTCACAAACGCTATGACAGTGTTATCTGGTATTCCTACTGTATCTTTTTCCCCTTCGAAGTATAATTTTCTCATTGGATATTTCTTTCTTTTTCCTTGCCGCGCCGTTTTAAAAGTTGAATCGCTGTAAAAGATTCATTTTCTTTCGCGGCATAGCTGAGAGGCTATGATTTACAGGAGCATGGATTTTTGTTGAGCTACTAGTTATGCACTTGGCCCTGGATGGCCTTGAAGGCCGAAACTCGTTAGGCACCAGAATGCGATGGTTAACTAAGACGACTGCAAAGAAAAGGCTCAACAGTTTGCTATTCAGATCAACCTATTGGGCATCAAACGGTATGGATTTAGCCTCTCTTCTTCCCCGCTGTTCGACGATAGAGAATAAACACGCTCCTTAGAATATATTGATAATGGTAATGACAAAATGGCGTAGTCAGAAACTATCAGCGAGCCCCTTGAAGAGAGAATCCGGAAGATGCCTAGCTCCTTTTAACAAGGGCGGTGACGAGCGTTGGAAAAGCATAAGTTTGTCTTAACAGACAGCAGACACTAAATGAGCTATGTCGTGCAGACGTTATCTTGTGAATCTCCATGATTGCCAAAAGTAATAGCCAATGTTGATTTGAGCTGTACAGGGGTTTCAGGTGGATTTTTTTTCTGCTTGGGCACAAGGTCGATACACTCAGAGGGACGGATCTGGTTACGAGTATCTTACGAGTTTTGTGGTATAGTATAATAAGAAACTTGTTCTGAACATCGTTTGCTAACAGTACGTTTACTCCCTTTTTTTTTTAGAAACATTCTGAAGATCCTGGCCGTTCCTGAGCGGAGGCACTGACCAGCAGCTGTGCTCCCATAAGAGGCTGCAACTGATCGAAGAGACAGGGCGCTACGACGAAATAGTGGCTTCTTGGAAAGATAATTTCTTAAAACTCACGCTCCTAAGAACCGAGAAAAGGAAAACGGGAAATGGGCAAAAGGTTAAATGGGTTAATGGTTTCACTGTATGTATGTATCTGTCCACCTTGTGGGGTTAATGGGAACGTTTTTGAGCTGCGGGTAGATGTGCTGTTTGTTTTCCGGCGTCTTTCTGGACTTTTTCTAACTAGAACCCCTCGGCTGGCCGTCGGCCGAAAAGTTTTTAGAGACCGCCAACTGAGAACTATCAAAGTGTATTTGACCTCGGCAAGGCGAGAAACAATCATGAGAAAGAAAAATAGAGAGACAGAGAGAGAGAGAAGAATAGAGAGACAATCTCTGCGTGCGAATTGTAATAAGTATCAGTGGCACAGCGCAGGATAGTAGGGTCCTGTTCGGGCATCCTTTACGGCTCTTTCTACTGTCGAGTCAGCTCGCGGTGGTCTGCCGGTCACTGCAGGGTCGGCATTCCACATGACCTACTTAGAGTACGGGTCAAGAGAACCCACTAGCTATTGTTAACCTTCTGCACTTCGTAATTGTGCAACTGACTGCTACCGAATCTGTTTCAGAGTTAAGTCAACCGCCCGACGAAAATCAAGTAATGGCAATAATAGCGGCAATAGCGGCCAGTAAGCAACGCATTTTTCCCTTATTTCGACGGTGTTGGGCTAACAGTAGTTTTAGTCAGTCAATGCAATGTCGTTACTGCCATAAAGGTGGTTGGCATAGCTCAGGCTAAGTACATCCTAAGATTCTCAGAACGATTTAAGGGTACCCGTCCGAAAAGATAACGTATTTAATGTACATGTGTTTATGTACGTGTGTTTATATAGAAATATACGATAACATGTATTGATGAATATAATTCTGAACTGAATTTCCGATATCATCCACAAGAAATATTGCCCGTACGCACCAGGCAATCGAAGTAGATACTTTGAACCTTAACTTGAACTTTACTTCAGGCGGATATTTCTTTCCAGTACAAAGTGAAGTGTGTCTACGGCCATTTTTTTTTGTACGCGGTGAGGACATTAATCGCGAGTCTACTAATTAATTCAACTAGTAAGCTAATTACGGTATGACTAGTCAATCAGCGAAACCATGGGATATTTTGTGCTCTTCGATGACGAGCGTTGTTTTTATTATTACCAGTGCCTAGCAATAGATAATGACATAGCAACTAAAATAGCTTGTATATCCGTTATGTAAAGTTTGCATTGTATGATAATCTAATGTTTGATGTCTTACGCAACCAAAATGCGTGTCAAAACCTTCTAGAGGTATTTAGACCTTAGAGTAGACCCTAGTGCAGACAATGTTGCCGATTGTGACGGTGACCTTGAGTTTGCCACCAACGATTTCCCGAACAGTGCTATATTGCTTGCCGTCCTTTTCGGAAACCTGTTTGAGCTTATCGCCGTCGATGATGAAAGTTGATTTGCCTTTGCTATTGTCGGCCCTGGTCTCCTCGAATTCTTCACCGATCTTGAATTTGATCTCAGTAGTCTTCAGGGTCGAAACGCTCCTGATGGTCCTACAATACAGTCCGAATCAACGGGTCGAAGAAAAACATCTTAGAGACCGTCGACTCGTTATTTTATTACTTTTGAATACAGTTTTCAGTGGTTCGCCAACGAATTGACGTTGGTGGACAGTTTCTCTGCTATGCACGATCTTTCGATGTCAATAAAGAAAGATAATACTTTGGGACAATAGATGCAGCGAATGGCCGACGTCCTGATTTACCTTTTCGGCTCTGAAACGGTTATGTGATAGGATCAAAAAAATTTTGCACAATATTATACCTTTGTAGAACGTCACGCAGTTTTAATATTCCCCCCCCCCCCCCCCGCTTCTCCCCTTCTCCTAAATCTAGTTAACAGCCAACCTTTTCGAACTACTCCATATCCAGGGCTTCATCCAATCGTTCTATCCACTAAATACATGCCACTTATGCAAAAAGTTTAGCCTTCGCCATTGAACGATTGCAAATTTACATAGCTACTATTGTTATATAATTTGAACGAATGCATATCGTTTGAATATGGGATATTTTAAAGTAAGCCACTATGAGGTAGAACGAAAAATATTCTCTCCCACCTACCAGTCTACACCCACACCTGCAATCCACATTATAGTCTACCTTGACAGCTTTACCTCCTGCTTGGATGGCTCCAAACTAACCTGATTCGAGGAAAAGCTTATGCCCCTGTCCATGTATGCTTGGTAGAGGGTTCTTCAAATTTGGACCTAGTTGCATCTCCCTACATTTTACACAGTGATTCAGTCGATCTGTCCTTTACCTAAGAGCTTCATCCCCTTTGAAGCTCTCGCGGTTCTCGTCTCCTTCGCTATAAGTAATCGATAACATGCATTTCCATTAGCACGCTCATCGCTTCACAACGGAATTACAACTTTCTACTTCGTCACTTCTGGTCAGCGTCAACCAAAGTAGCCGCCGAGTCCTTCCACTTTCCTTTCTTTTTTGTTATGGCTTGGAGCCAGCCTTAGAACTCGCAGCTCCTGCCCATCGACTCCGGCCTGTCGCCCAATTCACCTCTTTCTGCTCTCTCATAAACATCATTCTTGCCCCATTTCCATTTCTCCCTCTTCACTTTTTCGTACTCTCGTCCATTACTCTGCAAAGCAATTTCTCGGTTGGACGTCACAAAGACATCACTTCCCGCTACTTTCGCGTTCCACTCATTTCGGCCGGCTATACATACGTTCGCCAACAGAACGTACATCCTTGAACGAGGCTGTTATTGTGGCGGGATACAAAAAACTCCAGCGTGCGTAGGCGATACTCTGATGTGCTTCGAAACTGCTGGGCATTACTGTTCATACATACGATGGTTCGTATGGTTATGTAGCCAGTATCAATTCCGAAACGCTTTGTGAAGCAATAATACATGTAGTTATAGTAGTGTTTTTTGTGCTGGGTTATTTCAATAAAAAAAAAACCGTAAACAGGCAAAACGTTTCCGAAAAGCACGATGATGGATATTTCTCGTTATATCGCATGGGGTACGTATATCTATATATATATATATATATATATATATATATATATATATATATATAGACAGGTTAATTATTATTTGATGTGTTTTTCTTTTGGGCGCATTGCACAAAACCTGGTAGACTAAGGAAACATTTTAGTGACATGAGTTCGACTGAAACAAGCCCCCTGAAAATTGTCGATTGAATCTGCTGCCAAAAAAGATTTTAACTATCTAGAATACAGAACGATTTAAATTAAGCAGACTGATACAGACGGCTTTCTGGACCACCTAATTTGAAACGAACACGTATCCGCTTATGCTGCCACTGTCTACGAAGCATGCCAAGGGCCGACCACACAAAAAAGACGATACTGTTGATTAAAAAAGTGACGAAAATGGAAGAGTCCTAAATGTAAGTATTGGCTAACTTTTGAGAAAAGTATTGTGTCCTTCTGTACAGGTTCCAGTATCGGCCAAATTTACTGGAGTACGAAAACTCTGAGTGATATTGCAAAACAATAAGAGCATGGAGCAACAGGGCAAAATTGGATAAACTTGAATATTTATGTCTTAATTTCTTAAAAATAAGTTCTTAATTCTAGCTGAAACTGTTCAATGAACAAACGCTCAAACTTTTTTAAAGCCGAAAGATACATTAAATAAAAACTCACCAAGTAGCTCACGAGCCCATCTTAGGAAGAGCTTTAGTAGTCGGATCAATGACGAAACCAACTTCTTTCTCTCGTCTCTGAAGCCTCAAAGCTTCGAGTGATATCTAGCAATTACATTAAACCGGTCATCAGACCGTGCCTAGGTCTATCTCTATCACGATTTAGAGTTCTTGTCGCCAAGACGTTAACCGGAACCACCGTTCTTTCGCTCCTTCCGTCAAGGCTAGAGAAATAAGTTTTTTCTAACGGCACTATTATAACATTCGGTGATATATTTTAACCTAGTAAAATGCGATATAGGTAGATTTTGACGATATATAGAATTAGGGGCACAAGGGTTTCGTAGCCGAAAAAACCTGCTGGATTAGTACCCAGCTGTGCGTTTTAGGGACAAGGCAGTAACGTTTCAACGAAACTATGCATCGAGTAGGTGGTATTGATAGTAATAGTCGTGTTCGATAACGCTAACGAATTGATATACTAGCCGACTATGCTTTTTTTTCCTTACCAATCTAGATCATTAGTTGCTATAGATGAAATAATAACTATTTACAGGTAGTTCTTACATGATCGCTTCATATCCTCTGAATAGCTTCTCGTTTGCTCTCCTTATTCCCTATGCTGTTTATATCAAAGTATTTATTATAACTTTTTGTTAAAAGCGTATAATTTTTTTGTCTTCTCAACTCGACGCTGCAATAAAAATCAATCATCGAGTACAGAGCGAACAAGCCCGCTAGCCATAGGCTCGAGCTTAATATGACATATCTGCAGAAACAGACGAATACCCGAGCGATTTTAACTGAAATTTTCGGACGGTCAGAAAGCCATTTTCCGTAATCTGCTTTCGATACAATCAGAGAGGAGCTTCAGGGAAGTGCGAAGCCACCTTTAAGTGACGCTGACGATTGCTCTCTCACTTAATCTTTACTTTATACTAATATCAAAAACACGTTGCGAAGGCGCAACGTGTTTTTGATATTAGTATAAATAGTATTTGGCGTTAATATATGAAACTATTACTACATAATAATTAAATATGTATCTCCAAAAAAGGCAAAAGAAAAACATGCGGATAATAGTTCTATGTATTTCTGTCCCTATTTCATAAAATCTTCTACTGAGATGGCGAACTGAGATAATAAGTGGGTTACTTACTTAATATGAGAACTAGCCGGTTTTCTTCATAATAGATAGTAATAATTATTCAGTGGGTACGAATATATAATTTATATCGAATCCCAAATATGTATCCCGCTATATCAGAAATAGCCATCTGTACATATTGGATTGTCTATTCTTATATTAGTAGCTATTTTTCATACTTTAAAATAATATCATTGAACAAAATATGCGCCGTTCGTTGTTCGAATAACACCGTCTATCTAATAGTCCCATCACGAGCGAGAAATTGTGATACGTCATTTTTGTACCCCACCATTTAACATTGACGCCGTTGGGGGAGTTTCGCAGAAACCGAGACAGATGGTACTTTAATGATGCAAGGTCTGGACTATCTGGAGGGTCTATTAAACGTTCCCATCTAAGTTCGCTTAATTGTTGCTGGATAGTTAAGGATATACGTAGGATGTATAGCATTGCCATAGTGAAAGACGATGTTCTTCCGTCTACTAGTTCGCGCGGGTTTTTTCTCGATAGTTTGTTGTAATGTTCGAACTATTCGTTTTTTTTAGGTGATAACAGTGCATAATAAACGATTCCTTTTCTATTTCACGAAACACAGAAAATCACCCTCCTTGGCATCAATCAACACCTTACCACGGATTATGGAGTACATCATCACCATTACCTTATGTGATCCACCCGTGCCCAATCGCTTTAGAAGAGCTCCGATTTTCTGTGTATCGGAACGGTGGCACCCAAAACATCGAGTCTTTTCTTGTAGCCAACTCTTTTAAATGTTTTTAACCCGTTTGGGTTTTAATGCTTAGTTCCTCGGCGTCATAGTAGCTACTTAGGTGTCGGTCTTACGAACTTGTTCTGTAACTGCTTGACCATCACGACGAACATTTATCATATAGAAATGAAAGTGATAGAATCAACTTTGGAACACGCATTTTGACCATAAACAGTACAAGCTTTGTATTGGCCTGGATAGTATTTGCGCCTTTATCGTAACAAAAGTATAAAATGCAGCAAGTTTTTATAGAAAATTTACTCACCTTACAGACGACCTATCTTCAGCCTGAATAAAGGCACTCGAACAATTTTAGCACATCTACTACTGCTAAATTTCAGCTTGAAAGTTGATTCTTCATAATGAATATTTTCTAAAATTATATATATAATGTATGGTTCGCCTAAAGTCACTTTTTTTTACCCAAAAAGTTGTTTATGCGCAAAGCTGGGAATACGATTCAGAGAAATTTTAAAAATCAATTTTCCAGCGTGTGTTTAAAAGCATAGAAAAAATAATACAGTAATTTCAGAATATAATTATTTTCTCCATCCCTATTTGGCAAGCAACTTTTTGGGAACATATTAGCAGTGAAGTGTTTCAGTTTAGATTAGTACTGACCACTCGTCGCCATTTTTCGAGATCTCGGCATTGGGCTTCGTAGCGGTGGCGGCCTTCCTCAACACCATGTTGACGCCGAGTTCCTTTAGCAACTCCTCGAAGTTTTCTGACGTCTCGAGCTTCCATGTTCCGATGAGAGCGTCAACCATTTTGGCAGTGGTTTTTGGTCGCAACGAAAACAAAAAACCAACGTTAACAGACGCTATGATTAGAAACTCGATCGACCGTTTCACTGAGGAGACTGGCAGTAGAGACCTAATACAACGCTTTCTAAGTACTCTCGCGTTAGACCAGCTGTTTGCGCGAGTCTCTCCAGACACCGATGTTGGATCAAGCTTTCCCTCGCAGAACTAGTATTCTCTCTACTTTTATCAAATACGCTTGTAATGCAATTGTCCAAAAAGAAGTCTAACTTATCGCTCCTTGTTGGGAGGGGCAGGGAGGATTACATGCGGTCGTCAACCGCGAAAACACACGAATCGCTAGTGAGTGGCTAAGTGTGAGGCGCTGCTTGAGAACAGCGAAAGCATATGAAATAATGTCATAGTGCTGCTAAGAGATAGATCTGTGTTGATTAGCGTAGCATTGACCATATGGGACGCGACGAATTGCTAGCGAGGGGTAGCTCGTGGCTGTTACGTGAGTGAACGCAGTTTAATTGTAGCCAAAATTCTGTGACAGGTTTTCAGAAAATGATAGCCGAATATCATTGTATATTGGTAGGTGTAGGTTAACAAGTGGGGCAGACGGGATTTGGGTTACTTTTCGTATGGTGACGTGAAAAGTTCAAATATACAAATGAATATTAGAAATATTGTAGCAGAAAAGCAGAAAGGAATTTGGGGAGGAGTTGACGGTCAAATAGCACACCATTTAAAAAGATCTCTTCAAAACAGCACGTATGTGGCTAGACCTTTAGCTGCAACGGAGCCCCATCATGTCGTGATGCAAGTGTCTAGAACAGGACATTCTATAGACACTATTTGGGTTCACTCGCCAACGTGATTGATATATAAAAAACTTGGCAAATCGTTTTTTAAGTTTATTAACATAGGCGTTGTATGACAACGGAAGGCGAACCTCTTAGGCAATCAGCTTCATTTTTAGATGATTTAATCGTCATAATAAAGCATTGCCAGGTGCCTATTGGCCGTAGCTTAATTGGATTATTTATTACGGATAGCAGGTACACGACGTCCGAAAGAACGAGCAAGGGGTTTCATCCAATATTTAATTTTTATTATAAACTTATATCAAGTTCGATTCACGGGTCAAAGCTACGCTAACACAACGCTGACACATACAAGAAGCACCGACGGGTCAATAATATCAATAGTAATAGTAATTCATAACAACCGCTCTTACTGGCACCCTTCGTTCGAAAATCAATACGAGACAAAAGAAAATATACACAACAGCCAATTTGTACAATGGCAACTAAGTTACAATGCAGGTGTTTATTTGTGATGTCAATCTTACTATTCCCAGCTGTGGCTTTTATCCTGTAGTTCTGTTAAAGGTACTTCCTTCGTACGTGTGACGTTCCCCATGTTGTACCTTTTGCTTTGCGGTAGAAACTTCTGTAATACCAATCTGATTACTCCACTAATGTTTCATGGCTTCATTGATGTACACTTCACGAACGCATTTTACTATTGCTGTACCTGTGATCAGTCCCGGTTGATTAAACCTTGGAAGGACGCGGTCAAACCCGGCATTTCTCTTGCCATAATAGACGTAACAGACCGTCTAATCTATGTAACAGAGAAACGTCTGCAAGAAATTTTTACTCGTTTTCTCGATGAAACCCTTTCAATGATGCAGGCCAATAAAAGTGCTTGCTGCTGATGGCTCGCTTATCTACGAGACCCGCTCACATTAGCTTAGTTTGCTAGCCGTTGGAACGTGTTAAAGCGGCCCATTTTTTAGAATCCATAATTAATATAAGTGCTAATGAAGTTATTTATCTGTTCGTCATTCTTCTTTGCATACATAATCTTTAGCTTTTTATACATAGTCAACAGCACCATGTCATACGGCCATGAGCAAGAACTTAGAGATCCTATGAAGACGCTCTCCGTTGTCTTGACTTTTCGGCGCATTTCATTGTGAGCACAAATAATACTACATATACAATACAAATAGTCAATCAAAAAACCTAAGGTTTCGAGTTAAGTGAGCTATTTACTTTTTTCTACCCGCTAGTGATATGAGGACGTGATTAATGTTAGGCTTGATAAGCAAATAGTCCTTTATCGTAAACACACTGGCTCACCGAACTTGGTGCTAAGTTGAACTTTATCCTTTATACACGTCTACCAGCTCAATAGTAGATAACTTGCAAGAGCTACTCGATTAAGCTGTTGGACATTAGTTGAAGAACAATACAGGTGACTTCTGATAACCGGCATGATATTAAGGGGAATTTGTACCGGTGATTCAGAATGACCTCATTGGAAACAGTCAGCCTAGACGAATCAGATTGGATTGTGAGTGCTATCGGCACTTCCCTTAGGGGCAAGCATTATTAAGAATCACTCTACGCTCATTATGTACCAATGAAACCTTGCCAATATCTAAATTTTCTCTCGGTCCGACTTGCACAATCTGAAGCAGTCTGATGTCCAGACTGATAAATTCAGCTACCCATGGCCGCAGTGCAATGCAGCAACTTCTCGACTAGAAGTTTTCCTTCACGCCACTTCAGTATATACAATTTTCCATCGTTAAACATCACTTTCTGTCATCTATTTTTTTTTACACTGAATCCACCCGGCAGTAGCCTCCCGAGAGTTTCTTGCGGAATTTCTAACGAAGCTGTGAAGGAGAAACGCCACATTAATACTATACTATCGCAGAATCTTTTATGGTTTTTAGTGTGTAGATGTCCAGTATTGTATGTATATTTCAGTTATACCCTTTGATATAATTAATCAAATGTATATTATTTTTTTAATTCAGTGAATGAACTGCTACGGATTTTATATCCGGCGCGAAAGAAAAGTGTAATTTATCATAGTTGAGAAGCTGGGCAGCTTCGAACGTTTACTTACTTAGTGTTTGCAACTCGTTCAAATATATTTCATGTATGTTAATAAGAAACTTCCGACAATAGCTAACCTTAATGTACTCGACAATTTTGCTTTAGTTAAACGCATAATGAAACTCTTAAGAAAACTTAAGTAAGTTGGATGACCGGTTGCCGAACTTATTATAATCGGGTTATTTCTACATATACGGTAGGGCGCTTGCAGTTATAATTTCATTTATTCACTCTATTCTTAAGAAAATTGAAAGCGTGTTTGTTATTTTACTGAAAAATCTTGAAAAATTGTAAAAATTATAGCAGAGATTAATTGGATAGCTTATTATTTTTTTGTTTCACTTCTTATAAGAATACAGATACATTTATATATGTACGTACGTGCGCTAAATTTACTTTGTTGGACTAGAATAGTCATACATACAGGGATGCGTCCACTTTGCTATCGTTAAAGCCCTTCTTATAGAAAAAAGATAGCGTCTATCTGCTATTCTTGGCCTCCGCAAATCGATGATAACATTCATACTCCACGTGATGGACCACGAAAGTTCTGACTGAACAGCATACGCAGATAGCTGAGGAAAAATTAGAGGTATTTCAATATGTGTTTGAAAAATATTCAGGTTCTTGGACTAGAAAGATCCTCTCGAGCACCGATATTCGGCGGTTACTTCCCTTTCTTATCTAGAATGTATGATAATTATATTGGATGTGAAGTGACCCATCCATCCTTAAGCTGTACCTTGATATGACACGGAGTCTGTTAAAGCGTCATGCGGTGGACTAGCGTTCTATGTTAATTAGTTTTCTGAAATATGCGAAAACACAAAAAAAACTTTAGGATCTTATGCAAATATGTAAGTACTGCTTAGTATTATTGTTATTGTGAGTCACTATGTGTTCAACGTGTAAAAAATTACAGGTATATATACTCTGTATGTATTTTACTCTTGTCGATCACCGTTCTATATATTATTAATGAATAAGTACACTTCTGTCAAGTGGGCTAGCCACTACCGCTTAGGTGAACGACACTTCGAAACAAATGTTGAGAAAAACGTTCTGGTATCTGGTGTACTATTTGTTCAAAGTGTCGATCACACAGACGTAAATGAAAGCAAACTTCTTACATCCAATCAACGTCTCCCTAACGTAGCTCGCCCTTTTAACTGCCGCTCCTTTTCAACATGAGCAAGAAAAAAAAGTTTCGAAAATCGGTGTGAACGTTCGATACGTTCCGTGCTAGAAGTGGCGACTAACCGTTTGAACTAGTGGCACGCTATTAACTATGGCAATGGCGTAAATGTAGATTAAAATCCTATAAACTAGTCACGACCAATGATTCCATTCATAGACTGTTTGTTTGTAGGCATATAGTTTGTTGATTATCGACACCGAAAAAAATCCTATTATCAACAGTAACCGTTTGTACTAAAGGTAGATATCCCAATTTTAGAAGCGATTAGTACCTTGTTTGCGTTCAGTCTGTAGTGATACATCGCTGATATAGGGCTAACGTTAGGGACACGCCGTGAGGTGGAATCGCTTCTTGCTGGACCATTACCTAACTGAAACAATAGCAAAGATCGAGACATTTACGTTAGGCCGGCTTTCTCGCTCGATCAGTAGATCTATTGGATGCTACTTAACATTTTGTAACCGTTTTCGATAAGCTGATAGCACGAAACGATTCGGCCTAACAAAACTTAGACGATACATGGCGTCCGATGAAAGGTACTTGTGGATAAAAAGGAGCAGTATGAGTGCTGATTGCTTCTTAGCGGTCGATAATGTTCGCGCGAGGTGATGAAACCATTGCAATCTACGGGGCTAAAAGACCTGTGGCGCTTGTCCGTTTGGCCCGTTCTTGAATAGCACGTAACTTTGCACTTTTTGCAATATGTCGTTGGGATTACGAAAAAATACATGGGCAAATGGAGGACATACATTTCTAACCATAAGGAATCGTCGTTGATAAAACACTAGAAAAAGAGAAACGCTTTAATTGGAGGAGCGTATTTATGAGCTTCATCAAGCAGATCTATACCAACAGTTGCATTATAGCTTGAAGTAGGTTATAAATATAAAATAGCTATATAGAAGTTCGTGGAGTTGGAGGCAGATATAAAGTTATTGATAAGAAAGGCGAAGAAAAGGAAGAACGAGGGTTGGTGACGTTCGTTAACGCGTTTTGTGATCGTAGACGTACAGACTCGTC